ATTCTGTTTGGTTTGTTGCACTCTCTATATCTTTATGCTTAGTAATATTGGCATTGAGAACTATATCATATTCTCCTATTTAGTATATGTATGTATATTCGCATGTATGATAAAAGGAACTGACGTATACCTTCTAACTTACCTACGTGTATATATGTCCATATACAAATAGCAATGGTTCTGTTGTTTCTTTTAAATTATTTTGCAAACAAAATATTAATATTGGTTTTGCAAAGTGACTTTTAAAAAGATGGAACAAAGCCAACATTCTAACCGTGTCTTTACGCAACTACTTTCTGGAGTTCTTCATTCCTTTTTAAGTTATATACATGAACATCTTCCAGGTCCAGGTATACGTAAAGAAGTGAAAATGTAATATTAAAACCAAAATCATTTCTGGTCACCCCTAACAAACAACTTGTTATGAAGGGCTGCTCAATAGATTTTGCTATTCCCAAAACAGTGGCGCTAGTAGTAGTAACATTTGACTCAAGACAGGTAATAAAATCTGTATCAGGGATATGAATGTACTTGCTACTCAATGTTGCACTGTGTGGATAAATTTATAAATGAGTGACAATAATCTTTTTTCTTTAAGAGGATTATTCTCCCGTTTATAACGATTAACCTGTATCTTCGTTAGTGTTTGTAGTAGTTACCTCCCTTAGTGCAAGTGACATTTTTGTCTTCATTCAACGAGTTAAGAAGCAAAAAGATTCTTCAGTTTGCCGTGTTAGTATGAAAATATGGCGTGAATACAAGCCATTGATTTGGCTCTCAACTTTCAAACAAATTTTATGATCAAAATATATGAAATCACATACATAGCTTCAATATATTTCAAGTAACTTAATTCATGATTTAAAATCCTGAAAATTATTTAGTTATAAAATGCATATTCAAATTTATATTTATAATTCTATTTATTCAAATTTATAGATATTGTTTTTTATTCAGTTTGATATTTTTAAATATTTCTTAATATATTTCATGCTTACAGTTCTATTTGGATATTTATCATTTTTACCATATAAAGAAATATAAAACAAGTTAATCTTTTAATTTTCAATTCATTTCAAGATATTTTCTCAAAGCTCAGAATTCTTTTCTCGAAAGATAATTTCTTACTTGATTTTTTTTATCCCTTTCCCTTGTGTCTTTTAATGTTTTTTTAATTATTTTTTGCAAAATGATTGATTTAAGAAGACTTCTTCTCTCCCCAAAGTGTCAGTATATTGAAAAGTGTCTTAAACCATCTCACTCCCCTTTTAAAGAACCTTTTGAACTTTATTTTTCAATGAAACTGCCTTATCTTTATCTTAAAAAGCATTTCTGTAAACTCATTAGATCAAAAAATTTATTAAAACTATATTTTTTAAATTTCTAATTTAATAGCAATATTTGTTTATCAAGAAAATATAACTTAAAATATGAAAAATTAATTATTTTAAAAAATTTCAATCAATATGAACTTTCTTTTTTTTATATTTTTCTTCTATATTCTATGTAAGAAATATTTTAAATTTGTTTTTACTAATCATTCCTTCTCTAATGAAATGGTTCACTTCTATGAAATAACAATGATTGTAGGTCAGCCATTACAAAATCACATTCTTTTCTCAATTTCTCCAACAATCATTACTTTTTACCATATTTCATATCGCAAGCAATTTTTGTCTGTATTTAATCTTTTCAAGATCATGGAAGACAGACATTTTATGAAAAATATTTAAATCAAAGCAAGAAATACTGAATATACCTTCTACTGAAGATAGAAAGGGAACTTAATATTAAATAGGAGTGGGTTATAAGCTCTTAAAAAAACAAAAACAAAAAAAACAAATCCACTTTTGTTTTTAATCAAACAATTGTTATTTCATGCTTTATATTAACATTATTTTTTACAAAAAAAATGCAATAATTTCTTAATCTGGCATATTTGCAGTATGAGACCAGAGAAAAACAAGAGTAAATTAAAATTATTAGTGCCTTAAAATTAAAGTCTTTAACAAATCAAATGCCTTCTATCTCTTTATAATTTATATTTTTATAGGGATTAAAATTGTGTAGCCATATTTTTTTTTTTTTACATAAAAAAAAAAAAAAAAAAATCGAGATTGTTGTAATGATTGATGTCTCTTAAATCTGGATGACAATGAAGAAAAAATGCCTTGATCAGTTTGTCAAAAGGACTATCTTGCTAGCTAAATGTTCATTTCCATTGCAATAGGAAATACTTAATGGTGCTACATGACTCACACACATTTTATAGATGTGTGTTAGAAAATATTTTATTTTTCCTTCACATACTGTTTGTCCACATTTAAGGATAAGTTGCAATTTCTATTTCTCTCGTGCCTTTTTAGGATGTTGAGATGGTCTCTTCATTGTATTGACATTTTTATGGGGTTGAGTAAGTCAGTCCAATTCCAAAAACAAAATTGACTTCCTATTTCTTGCTGATATCATCCCTCAGACTGATAACATTTTTTTTTTCACCATAACATTTCACCTGCTTTATTATTTAACCATCTTCAGGTGTCATGGTTTACAATAAAGAAAGAAGCAGTCTGCTTTCAGATTATTACTTCAATACCATTTGTACCTCATTGCATTGAATATCAAATTGTCAAGCATTGATTTAGCTGTTATTTGATGCAACTATATTTATTGAAAGTCTTGGAAGGGGGCACCCCCCCACATCTTCCAATGAAACAAAAACCCCAGGAAATTTTTCTAAAAACCAATGGGAAGCACAATAAATTACCCAATAAAAGTACATTTTATTCCAAACAATGTTCAGATCATGTGCTATAATCTTACAAAAAAAAAAAAAAAAATCTGTTCTTTTAAGTCTTGATATTCCTTAGATTTTTAAAATTGAAATGAATACAAAAAAAAAAAAAAAATTTCAAGTATATTTCCTCTTAAAAGATTAGTTATTTAATAAGGCATTTTGCAGCAGGAATTTCAAGTAGTTTTATTCTCCCTCAATTACTATTTTTTTTTTTTTTAAATTTCGTAAGTAAGAGTCAAAGATGTATTATTATAGGAACATCAATTTTAAGAACTTTGACTAAACCACTTTTCTCAAAACTAATGTAAGATGAACCAATCAGAACATTGTAACTGGAATCTATGCAAATGAATTTTATACACTTCTGGCTTTAACTTTTTCTTCATTTCTCCAAAACTTGAACCATTTAAAGTTTTTTAAATTTTATTGAACTCCAGGTTGTCTTTCATTTAAAAATATTTAAACAAAGAAAACCAAGTGGCATCAACCACAACCAGAGAAAAAAAAAAAAAAAAAATAATTTAGCCAAAATCTTTACCATTAATATTGAGCCCCTTTTAAAGCCAATAGCTGAGCCACTCTTATAAGACTAAAGCGTGTGAAAGTGTGCCTTAGTAAAATTAAAAAAAACAAAAAAAACTTAGAAAGTTTGCATAGCTTGGAAGTCTTGTTAAAATTTTACTAGATGTGTGAAGAAACTTATAAATACAAATCTTTGTTTCTCTCCTCAGAATAAATGGCAGATCTTTCTAGAGAATTTATGTCCAAATCTTAGATGGATCAGTTAGTTTGTGTATGTTTTTTTTTTTTTTTTTTTTTTTTGAGATTTCCCAGTAAAAAGAATGAATTGTGTAAAAGATTATGACCATTTCTTTTGACTATCTTCAAAAATCAGGAAGGCAATAAAACATTAGTTTTAAGGATATTTCCACTACACAGCAGCCTCAGTTCCCCCCCCTCCTGTAGTCTCTGGAAAAGTCTATGCTTACAAGGTTTTGAGGTTGGATTCTTTCTCTTTTTGGTCTTCTCTCAATGTTCTAAAGTTTCGTTCCATTTTTCTTTGAAATTTGTTCTTGCAAGTGTCGAAACATGTATAACTAGTCTAATTTAGAGCTTTGAACAGTAGACCAGATAGGAAATATAAACAGGTGATGATCAATGGAATAAATGAAAACTAAGATTTTTAATGTTAATTTAAGGAAAATTGCTTAGGCTTGAACTTCTATGAAGGGTAGAGAATCCTTTTTGGTATTTAGTGCTGGATAACTAAAGAGAAAAAAAAAAAAAAATGTTGGCTGGTCCACACTTTCAAAGGAAGAAAAATATCCTTACAGACAGTTTAATTTAGTTACTCTGGCCAAGGTTTTCTATGTTAAGTCTTGTCTTATAAACAATGCACTAATTTTTCTTGACATGATCTCAAAATATAAGTATCTGAATGGCAATTTGAGTTAAAAATTTTCTTCAAATTTACCTTAATTGAAGTTAAGGTCCTAAGAACTTATTGTTTTAACAAAGCAGAGATTTTAATTATATCCAGAAGCATTAAAATGGTGTTCAGTTATAATTTAACTAATTTTGAAAACTAGCCAGGTTATAAATTTTGTTTTCTTTTATCCAGATTCACAGAAGTTCCAACATTAGGCATTTTTTTTTTTTTTTTTAACCTTTAAAGTAAATGCCCATACTTTAACTTCCTTGACCAGACCCTTCCCTGGGTCAAAAATACATCAAGTATTAAAGATAACATCGTCAGTTCCTCATATGCCCCCACCCCACTCCAGTTCATTTCTTTTTATAGAAAATGAAAAATAAAACAATTTTAAATAATTTGTTTGCCTTGTTTTTTTTTTGTTTTTTTTTTTTTTCTTTCATTTATAAAGAAATCAAAATACAAACAGCATTGAAGTAGACATTTTATTGGTCATTAAGTGATGAAATTTGCCACCGGCAAAACATAACATTGTCTTACTAACAAATGTCAATGACAAGCAGCTTTTTTCTTTTAAGACCTGAAGTAGTGACTAAGAAAACTACAATCACAACAACTCCAATGAAGACCAGTCACATCTCTCCAACCAAAGTGAAGAGGACAGCTGAACATCTATAAAACAAAGTAAGCCACTGAAGGTGAATGGTGATATGAAGGAGTGGGGTACAGTGCCTTTTTGCTGCTTTTGTACTGGAGGAAAGTGGTATCCATTTAATTGGCACTTCTAAAATATTCTTGGCTTTGTTTTGGATCAGGTTTCATGGTACTGCTGCCTGGTTTCCACCCAGCTGGACATACTGCAAAAGGGGAAAAGAAAGAAATGAAAAGTAAATCTTAACATTACACAGTTCAGACTCGTCCTGTTATATTCACAATGTTTTGGCTGTTGTACACTCCAGTCTTCAGGTGATATATGTTTGAATTTTGAACCGAACACCATTTTGTCCACTTTGAACGAAATGTCATGAATATAACAGTGAAGATGAGGACAACAGTTGGAACAATGTAAATTGTGTACAGACAATACCTCATCTCAGAAATATATACACCATCTATCAGTTTAATATAATGCATTAACAACTCTAATGTCAAGTTAAAATGCAGGCTCTATCAAGGAACACTGAAGAAAAAGAAAAGTAATAATTACTGGACTATCATCACATGAACACTAGATTAATAGACAAAATCTCAACAAGGCTTAGGTACTGAGACTAGGTTGAAATTATGACAAGAAGTCAAAGTCCAGAATTCAACCTGCTGGCCAACAGTAGTGGGTGAGAGAGAAGATTAAAATAATCACCTAAATGTCAATCTAAGCAAAAAGAATCCTAACAGCTCTACTAAGGTAAATCCACTTGAAGTTAATTCAACTGTGTTAAACTTATAAGCTTAATTAGAAGACAATTAAAAAAAATTCTTACCTTCACCATGTTTGTCAGTGTACTGGAATGCTTGTACTAAGCGAAGAGTCTCATCCACAGAGCGCCCAACAGGAAGGTCATTAATAGTTATTTGTCTTAGAATGCCTTTACCATCAATAATGTAGAGGCCTCTGTAATAAAATGGTCATCTTTGATAAAATATAATACCAAAGAAAATTCAAAGAAAATCTAACAAACAGACTTATGCAAGCAAAAGCTGCAGTATTAAAATCGTTGTCAAACTATTTTTTAGTATCAGAACTAACCTAAAGAAAACTGCATACTTATGAAAATGCAGAGATTGTAAGAGCTTATACATTAAGAGTGGCAGAAAATTAAGACTTATCAAAATACCTTTAAGATTAGAAGTAAAAGAACATTAAATGCAGTTTTTTATCCTTATACAAGACAACTGGACAAGACAGACACCCATTTTTTTTTTTTACCTCAAAGCTTTACAAATTTACTTTCTATACAAATTAGAATCAATATAGGCAGCTGTTGTAGGGAGGTCAGCCTACATACCAATAAACATTCAAGACAAAGTGGTTGAACCACTGCTGTGACTGTAAAACTAGTGTTTATTTTAAGAACTACAATATAAATAATTCAAAGTTTCAATTAAGAAATATCTATGAGAAAAAAAAAAAAAAAAAAAAAAAAAAGCTTTTCACCTTTACAGATTTGGGTTTATCACTTCTAGTAACAGACTACCCCCCCAGCAACACACAAATTCTCCAAATCACAAGCATTGTAAGCATAAATTAGGAAGATTTAAAGTATTTCAGAAAATTTTAACCAGGAAATTTAGTAGGTACTTCATGTCTAAAAGCACTTTTTACCTACCTACATTTTTTCTTTATAAAGAAAAAAAAAAAAGCCACAAGCAGAAACTGAGTTATACACTAATATAGCATTATTTAAAAGGGAAAATACATTTTTATTCTGTCAGAACCATGGAAGACAATGGCATTCTTTAAAGTGGAAAAGAAATACTGTTAAATCAGTCAAAGACCAGGATTTGAACACAATGTGCAAACACAAAGTCTAACCACCCTAACCATAATTTTAATACCACAAGAAAGGCTAATATGACCTGAAAGTGTAAATTTTCACACAAGAAAAAAAAAAAAAAATTAATATGTAGCATACCTGAATGCAATTCCATCTTCCTCTTTCAGACAGCCATATTGCCTGGCAATTTCACAGTTCTTGTCTGCTAACAAAGGAATGTTCATTTCACCCAAGCCTCCTTGTTTTCTGGGAGTGTTTATCCTGGAGGATAAAAAAAAAAAAAAAAAAAAAAAAAAGTTCATACCAATTTATACCCAAGCTGGGAGAAGGGAGGACATAGATAAGTACAACTTTTGGTTAACAGAAAGTAACTAAAATCATTGTATTACAATCTGTCATTTTCTTTATTTGCTGAACTGTGGCTGATGGAAAAAAACCCATACACAAAGAAATCTCAGTTCAGTCCCCGCCCCACTCTCTCCTTTAGATCAAGACAGGAAATAAAATAGCTTATTATACACTCACTAGTTACTTTATTAGATTTATTCTTCTCATACAGAGTTGGACCCTAACTTTGCCATTAAAACCACCTCAATTCTTGAGAGATTCCATGTTATAATGGTATCCTGCAAAAGCTACTTTAGCACAACAATTTCCCACTATTGTTTGTGATACAGTGCATTGTCCTGCTAGAAGTGACCACCAGAGGATGGTTGCACCATAGTCATAAACCGAGATACATGGTCAGCAAAAATACCATGGTGGCATTAAACAATCTTATTGATACCAAGGTTCTCTGATCATTTTGGTGCCACTAGTTTGAACTGTTGATACAAGGCAGGATGGATCCATATTTTCATAGATATGCCAAGTTTTCTAACCAGAACAATCACATTTATCAGACCAAGTAACATTTTTCCAATGTTTGCGATCCTTAGCAAAATCATAACTTCAGTTTCTTTTTATCTGAAAAGGAGTGTTATGCAGCATAGTATTCTCCTATAACCCATCTGCTTCAAGGAACAACATGTACATTCAGAGATGCCCTTCTGTACAACTCAAAAGAGTGGTTATTTCTGTTTGTGGTCTTTTTATCAGCTTGATGCAGTTTGACTTTTCAATGGATTTCAGCACCCCACCATTGTGTGAAAATCTCAAGAGAGCAGTTTTTTTTTTTTTTTATTACTCTCACCCATAAGCCCCCCATGCCATGCTCGAGTTGATTAAGAATTTAGTGTATGCACATGATTAAAGATTTAACTTAGGTAGTGTTTTTTTTTTTTTTGTACATGGTTAAAAAAAAAAAAAAAAAAAAAAAAAAAAGTTTAGTTATGTACAAATACTTTGAAAATCTTTATATTATACATTTGTCTTCCTTGGAAATTCCATAATGTTGTTGGCTGCTGAAAGAGTTCAGCCAGGCTCCCTGCCTGATAACACCTGACTTGTAACAACCTTTCACATTCCAAGAGGATATGCTTAATTGTGATTACTTTATCACATGTACATTTTGACTGTTCCTCATTAGTATAAACACACAAGTCAGCCATGAATGACCAATGTGCAATCGGGTCAAAGCTACTACTTCTCTTCAGTTTTTAAGTTCTATTGCCCATTCTTCCAGGTTGGACTTTATTTGGAACAGGCCATGTTTAAAGTCCCCTTCCTTTCCCAGAGTAATGAATGTAATGAAATTCAGCATTTCACCACAACCAGGTTTAAATGCTTATCTATTAAATTGCTACCACAAAATTAGCTGATTATAAATTTGCATAGAACATTTGTTCTAGTGTACTTAAGTGGCCAGCAAATGGATTAATGATAATTCATCTGAAAGTAGCAATAAATATTCAGAACCAAGTTTCATAAGCCTGCCTATTACAACACCTTGAACTTATTTAAAACTTTCTAAGACAGGATTAAAATTAATCTAGCAGAAACAAAAGGAAGATGCCTACCATGCTAGATGAGAGAAATGGCTGTCTGTAGAACAAGCTACCACTTCACATCCAATTTTTTGGAATTCTTCTACACGATCACTGAAGGCAATAATTTCTGTTGGACATACAAAGGTACTGTAAGGAGAGGAGAGAAAATACTGCAATGAGTTTTACAGAGAAAAAAAAAAAAAAAAAAAAAAAAAAAAGGGCTTTAATATTTACATGCATAATATAATATATAATGTAATATAAGATCACTTCTACAATGAAGCCAGTTTAATATTTTTCTTATAAATATTTAAGAGGAAAAATGAATTCAAAACTTACAAGTCTAATGGGTAGAAAAAAAGGACCACATATTTGCCTTTGTAGTCTTTAAGGCTAATTTCTTTGAATTCACCATTTACAACAGCTGTTCCCTTAAAGCAGGGAGCTGGCTGAGAAGGAAGAATATGTGACCCAGTCTTGCACTTTTCCATCTTTTCACACAATTGATCCTGAAATGAAGAGGTTAAATATATTATTATAAGTCCAGAATATATCACGCCATCTTGAATCCCAAGAACCAGTTGTGCAGTTTTGACATTTTTGCAAAATAAAGGATAATAAATCAATGAACTGACTCAAGGTTTGTAAGCAAGTCACTAGTTATCTTGTGCACTTTGTGATTGATGCATTCAATTACCGAGCATACAAGTTTGTTGGGTTCCATGCAGAGTTTTTACAAAGTATTACATTACCCAGTTTTGTCAGTACCCACCCCAACAGTACCAAAGTTAAAAACGATTAACATGAAAGGGGGATTTGCAGATTCAAAGTGGAAGAAATCCTGAGAAATGTTGGGGAGAGGGGGGGGGAGACTAAAGTATCATTGCTCTTGGCATTCTCCACACCATTGACACTAAATTACAGCTGACAGCTTTGTAGATAGACAAAGTGAAAACAATATAGAGAGACTGAAAATATCCCTTAATTTTTTTTCATTTAGTGAGGTTTACAGAGTCCCCTTTAATGGGATATGAACTCTGAGTACTAGTCTTAATTGATCACCTGTATATAAGGTTGTTTGGACACCCAACCCAATAAGCAACAACTGATCAGGCACAACTGTGTGAGGGGGTGGGGGAAGTAGCAAGATTATCTTGATGCTTTGTCAAATACAACTGGCAAAACTGAGCCTTACCAGGAATTGAATTGATTCAAAGAGCAAATATGAAATTGCTGACAAGCTTGGAATGGCTTTACTTGCCAGCCCAAGCCAGTTAAGATTTGCCTAGATGAGGTATTGGAGAAACATTGAAAGTTAAAATTCCATAGCACAACTTCTGGAAGCTAATATTTAAGCATGAAGACATTCCAATTTTCAGTTAAAACCTGCAACAAGGTACTCAAGGAGAAAAAAAATGTTTTAAAGACATTTCAGTAGTGCTCTCCATTTTTACAACAACATTACTTCTTACACTCAACTTTACATCCCAAGTAGTCATACTAATTTGACCATTCTACTCCACATTGCAAAGAGACATTTAAGAGTCTAACATCTGATTACATCTGCCAGTTTAGACCCCTTTTGAAGAACGGTTATGTTGGGATTCATCAAAAAATCTAATGGTAGTTTGATGTCTCACCACACATCAGAAGTATAGAAGCCAAACCAGAAGTTTTTTTACAAGCATATTCTCAAACCAAAGTTGATGGCAACTCTTTCTACAACTATCAGATGCTTAGAAGAAAGGAAGTATGCACAATCAGATGACATGTCTGGTCAATAGTAAGCTTTGGTAGATTCTCTTGAAAAAGTCTTTTCCAATTCAGATATTGTAAAACTAGGTACCATCAAAGAGGGGGAAAAAGTAAAGAGTTAATGATTGAATTTAACCTGAATGTTATAAGGAGAGACTTTAATCATAGAGTATTTGCAAGTTAGAAAGGTTACTTATATAATACAATTTCAAATCATTCAAGGAATACGAAACATGCTAAATGAAAGTTATTTTCCAGTAAGTACCCCCCCCCGTCTACACAAGTTGATATGCCTCATGAAACAAACTGCTATCAACAGTGCAAAGTTTCTCAAATGATAAACTCACCACATGCAGTAACAGTCAAACCAATTTGGATGAAAGACTTGTATACAAGACAGATGCGAGAGTTTGGTACTAATTATAAAACTTTCAAATCCAACATTCATTTTTTTTTTTTTTTTGTATCATTTCCCTTGACCTAAAAAATGCAGGTTAATTCAGAAATTACTCCAACAACAATATACAGGGTGGTCCTAAAATCCCCCGCATAATATAATTTTCTATTTCAGATGGCTGACAAGCTCATATATATATATATATATATATATATATATATATATATATATATATATATTATAAAACGCAGATTGTGTGTGTACGTTTATATATTGGATCGGATTTCCTACATTTTTCAACAAAACTTCACAGGACTACATAAAATTACCTTGTGGTGGTTCTAAGAGTGCCAAAAATTGAAAAAACAATTGTTTTTGCATGAAATCAATTTGAAAACATGACTAAGAGGCATCACGAGAATGAAAGGGGGACAACTCAGTTATACTTATTATAAGACCCAGTGTGTGTGTGTGTGTGTGTGTGTGTGTGTGTGTGTGTGTGTGTGTGTGTGTGTGTCTTTATATATGGGATCAGATTTCCTACATTTTTCAACAAACTTCACTTTTTTGGCAGGTAGTGTTTCTTATTGACTTGCATACTTTTATTTTTAGATTCAGAATGCTTTAAAAATTCCATTTACAAGACAATTGTTTATAATAAAATTCTATTCAATCGGTAGACTCATAATGATTGTAAACAATGTTTTTCTTCGAGTTTGACCAATTCACAAAAAGACATGCATGTCCGTCAACCTTAAACAATAATCTTTGTCAATTTTATTGAGACACACAGACACACACACACAGATGCAATTATGGAAATCATTTATCTGCAGTTAATAGATGAACTTGGGAAATTATTTCCATAAAAAAGATCAAGCATTTGTATTCAGTACTTTATGCCAAAAAGATGGCAAAGATTTGGCAAATTGACAATTCAAAAAATTCAGCTTCAATACTTGTAAGAGAGAAAATGATAGACATTGAGCAAGATCACTTCAAATTAAAACATAACTATTGTGAGTTTGAGGAAAAGAGACATGAAAAGTGAAAATACTAGACATGCAAAAATGTTAGTGGTCATGCAAAAGTGCATAGAAAGTAACTGTTTAAAATTGAGCCTCAAAGTTGGTTAAATGGTTTAACTTACCGAGATTAAATACAACAACTAACAACTAAATTTCTAAGAGGACACTGCAACAGAATGTGAGTGATAAAAAAAAGGGGGGGGGGGGCAACATTGTCATGAGAGAATGAAAATGAAGTAGGCATGCTTATTTTTAAGTCATAAAAATACTAAGTCTGCAGTAAAGGTTTTATAAGCCATCAATGGCCCTCACAGGCTAAGGGCCAAGCATACTAATCCTGGAACTTAATTAGAACCAGAAAGAGGTTAGCAGTTCATGTTCAGACAATAAAAATTAACCTACTCCTTCAGACTCAAACTGGAATGTTGAAGCTTCATAATCCCTGTCTCTTCGATCTGTTCGTTTTGATGAAGAGGTAAGACTATCATCTCCCATTCGCTTGGACGAGGGTGGATCTATTGCAAATGACATGGTCTGCTAAAGAAAGATATTTGTTTATACAGAATGCACTGAAGTGGGTTTAATGGTTTTATCTATTTTCTTTTATAGTACAGGTACTTTTTGGAGGGGAAAAAAGAAAAAAAAATCTTGCACTGTTCAGAATTGTAGTTTTAAGAAATCTAAGTTTGCTATAATAAAAAAAAAAAAAAAAAAAAAAAAAAAGGTGAGGGAACCAGACATTTAGAAACTTGCATTTATAGCAGATTCCAATCTACAATTTATTTTAAAATGGAAAATGACCAGGCCCAATCTTGAAAGCAATGCCCAAAACATTAAAATCTTAACTGATATAGATATCACAATTTACCAAGCATATATGCCTGCTAGGGCAGTTAGCAAATCTCCATCACATGCACCAGCTCAAGTACACTTGAGCTCAACAACCACAGAGCCCACCTGTGGTTTATATTACAACTATGCTAAACATACCTTATAGTTTCTGGGAGAGATCACATAATCTGACATTATCAGCAGCTTGGAACACTGTCCATATGCTCAACCCCTTAGTCACAATTTGTGGCCATGCAAGAACAATCATCAGCATCTGAACAGTTTCACCTACTGAGCATGAGTGTTTTCAGGCACTTTCCAAAAGGTGCCCCCCACCCACACACTGGGATTGTCTCCCCATATCAATAACATCTGGAAGTCACCTTAAATCAACTATTGTGAAATCTAAACCTGGCTCTCACCGTGAGAAAGTAAACTTTCTATACACTTAACAATGAACATACAACATCAGGACATATTTTGAATGCTTTATTTTACAAAGAACAGAAAAATGAAAATGAAGAACAAGTCTTAATCTGCTCATAGCTAATTAAAAATTTTGGCAATTTTTTTTTTTTATATATAAAACATTCCAATATTTCACTTGGTCTAAATGTAGCTAGCATCTATCATCTTGTAATATTAATGATAATTAATATTGGCAATTATCAAGAGGATGCAAAAGTATTGTATCTGTGTTAAAAATCTCAATTAGACTTCAAGCCTCAATACTGAAGAGCTACACAGATAAAACACTTCAGCTTTTGTATATTTTTTTTGTTATGACAAAACTGACTAAAATCCAAGCTTCTCACCTTGAACAAAATCATCCAAAAACTGGGTGAATGTAAAATTGAGATGACTGAGGATAAAGATTTCAATACAATTAAAGTTTTGAACAAAGTGCTTAAGGGAAAATAAATGACAAGAATGCTTTCACATCTTGCTTATGTTTTATAATCAGAACTGATGAATTTTATTGATACATACATAAAAGCTAAGTGCTAATATACACAGGAGAGCTACTTAATAGATTCTGATTAATACAATGTTCACAGTACATTATCTATTAACACCAGTTTACTTGGCACAATTATATAGTGTTTGTATGAATATGTTAGGTTTGCTTAAGCAGTGTTTGTTCACCTACTAGCTTGCTTAATCAGAGTTAATACAGGATGAGGAAGAAACTAAATAGAAATCAAATATAGTGATATAGATTAATTTGAAGTGTTACAGAGTTACAAATAGGATTGTTACCAGAAAAAGGTAGTGTCAAAGAATTTAGGGTTAGATTTAAACAAAACTGAATTCAGTCAATTTTTGGAAGAAAAAAAAAAAAATAAAATTGTATGCAGTGAAATAGTTGTGTAAAAACATTCTCAGTCTAACAGACTTTGTAAAAATTCAAGTTTTCATAGCATGATTTCCCCCACCCATTTGCCTTAGTCATGAAATGGAAATTTTTAAAAATCACTTTACTCTTAATTATTTAAATCTTAAAAAAAAAATGGAAGGCTGACAATTCAACATTTTAAAAATTGATTTGTGTATTTTGTAAATATAAATGCCCATACACAATATTCTCAGAAAATTAGAGGCAGCTATAATAAATTAAACATTTACTAGTAATTTTCTAACCTTCTCAAAGACCACCACAAGACTTTAAAAGCCAAAATATGTGTTTTTTCTTCATGTATTCAATTCTTCAAGTCTCATTTAAATTTACCAATCAGGCTGTAAATAAATAAACTTGCTTCATTCAAATCAATTTTGAATCAGCTAATTCTCAAATAACATTTCAGAAAATTGAAAATTTTTTCAAGAGATGTCAATAAGGACAAATTCCAATAAACTTAGATCCAGTTTGAAATGCAAAGTATTGGTAAATATTAAATTTAACTTGGAATCATTGGAATTAAGACTAAAATTAAATCAAAAAAAGCTTTAAAGATTTCAAACTTTACATAGGTATTTTTTTTTAGGGGGGGGGAACTAAATAAAAAAAATCGGAAGTCTGGAGGTACAGGTACTCAATACTGTTCCACAAGAAAAAGTTGGTCAAATCTCAAGTCATTAAAATGACAAGTTTGAACAAGAATCAAAAGCATAAAGGAAAGTGCTGATCAGGTTATTAAAACATTTTGTTTTTACAAAACATAGTTAAGGTCAAGCAACAACTTTCTCTAGAAAGGTCAACATTTTATTACAGTCGTTTTACAACATGAGAAAACGGATAAGTTTTTGAGTAGAATTTAAATGGGGCCCTCCCTCTCACATCTTAGCAAAGCAATACCACTAAGAAGGGGTTATTGGGATTGAAAGGCAATGAGAAAACTATTTAAAATAAAAATCCGTGTTTTTACGAAGTCAAGGTTGTGATCATCAACATTGTATGTTTTAAATTTTTGTATGTACTGTGAGTCTAGCAAGAAAAGTACAGAAAAAAAATTTTAATCATTAAATTAATAGAGAAAGTTTGCATGACCATTAATGCAAAAAGGTTTATTAAAAAAAAAAAAAAAAAAAAAAAAATTAATGCTTACTTTTGCAGTTTGCTTTATAGAAAGCAAAAAAAAACTTAGGAAAAAACATGGTGGGGGTCGAATTTTTTTAAACAGCCTTGAAGTATTCTATGTACCAATTGATCACCATTTTTACCACTTCAAGAAGCATGCATACAAATACCCCAGCAAATGAATAACAGGAATAAGCAGTAACCCCATGAATATTAATTGTCAAATAGTCACTTATACTCAGATCACATGAGATCTGATATTGTTGGAAGTTTAAAATCATTTTTATTATCCATCTTTAAACATTACTTGATGCCTATCATTTCTATTCACAAGGCAGCTTTAGTCTAACTGTAGAATATTCACAACACCATATTGTACAGTTACAATCCATAACAGATCACAGTATTTTTTAATAGTAGTAGTAAAAAAAAAAAAAAAAAAAAAAAAAAAAATTGTATATTCATGAATTTAGTAATCCTAAAATTACAAGGACAGGAACTACGTTATTTTCTAAACTAGAATTAACAATCATAGGCACTTAAATGGTATACATTTTTTTTTTTACTTAAATATTGTCAAGTTAAAGGAAGCCTACTTAATAGCAGGAAAAAGTAAATGTAAGCCAGTAGCCATAAAATCATTTTGTCAAACAGAAGTCATTTAACTTGCTAAGCAATATTGATAATATTGCTCAATACAGATATGGAAAAATACTGCTACTCCATTGCTAGGTAGAGCGAGAAAGCCAAGTTTTTGAAATTGAGTAAATTATGTCCAAGTACACATTTTAAAGAGAAAGGTACCTCCATTAATTTTTGGAACCCCGCCCGCGTCTCTGCGGTGAAAAACATTTGGAAATTCTCGCAAAAATCGAATAATTGTCAGATTTTAATGAAGCTTCAGGACTTATTCACAAATTAAAATTTTAGAATTGTTACACATCTGTTACCCCCCCCCCACACACACTGTTATGAAGTGGAGAAATTAAATTTTAAACCCTTTATTAGTTAACTAAAAATCCCTTGTAAATTTTTTGTAAAACAAAACACCTCTTACGGAAAATCTGCTCTAAATCGTAAAGTAAACTAAAAAATGAACTGAATTAAACTAAGATCAGAAGAGCTTTAAGGACACTTGCCGTCAAGAAAAGTGATTTTTCGATGAATAATGAAATTATCGGAATATTTTTTTTTTTTTTTTTTTAGTTTCCAAATCTTAAATTTCTGCATTACTACTTTGACCCAGTGATATTGTTTAAAAACTAAACTGAAGAGCTTTAGTACTTTAAAAAAAAAAAAAAAAAAAAAAATTATATATGTTTTTTGTAACTGTAAACAGAAACTAAAAAAGATAACTTTTTTTTGTAGATACAGAAGTTAATATACATCAGTAGATAAGAGCGATACAACTATAGTAAATTTAAAACCCAATAAAACCAGAGAATATTCTAATTTTTTTTTAAGATAATGAATACTTATTGCCTATCGTCGAGTTAGTCTTTTGAACAGGAATGAGTAGGTTTGTTTCCTGTTCCTTCCAAAAATCTATTTCAGCTAGCTAGCTATATATATATATATATATATATATATATACACAACCTTGAGTGGTTCTCGGGCCTTGTTGTGGGTGAATATTAGAGAAAAACACTACAAATTTAATCCTAAAATCAATTTGGAGTGTGACATGTTTCCAGAGTTAAACTGATACTTCTACCTTTGCGACCCTTGCTAGAAAAGGCGAAGAAGCCTAATGATATTGCGTAAAGAAACTAGAGAATGAATTAATTCAATTTTTCAATGTATTGTATAACATTAAAAATATTGTCACTAGACTAGAAGCCACTTTCTAGTGTTAGTGACAACTGTCAAGTCACACCGAAGTTTAACAAAAAAATGATTACAGAAATTTTAAAAATATTACTGTTACGTAATTATACTATTATTACGTAACAAGAACAGACTAGAGCTTCGAATTAAATTCAAATATTAAATTTGAGAGTAGGAATTCTAAGATTACTGAATTAAAACTTCGATCAGGTCCGATTCCCCAAAAATGGGGAGAGCAGAGCAAAAAGGGATTTTTTTTTAGATTATCTTTCTGGCGCCAATCAACCAGTTTTTTTCCTCTCTTCTCGCTAGATTAAATTTTTTTTTTTTTTTTTAGATAAAGACTGGAGTATATAATTTGCAGATAAAAGATACTATTATCAGAAGAACAATGTAATAGCACATTATGGAGAGAGAGAGAGAGAGAGAGAAAAGAAAAAGAGGACAGTGTGAGCGAAGACGGGCAAACAAAGACGTTCGTTAAGCGACGTAAAAGAAAATACTTAAAAAATCTAGGTTTTAAAAAATAAGACATTTTGCGATATGGTCGACTTTTTGAAGAGAATAAAAGTTAGAGCTTTTCTACTTTTAAAAAGCTACCGGCCGGCACGAAGGAAAGTTTTGACAACTTCAGGAACTAATTATTCGTTAGAAATTGAAGATTTCTACAAGATAAACTTCGGCTTATCAAAAACTGTCAGGATTTCTAAAGAAAAATATAGAAAGTAAAACTAAAGAAAAAGCAGCTGTAACCTGAAGGAAAATATATTTAAGTTATTTTCGAATGAATGAAATATTCATTATCCATTCAAGTTCTGTTTTTAAGAGAAGATTCTCATTCGAGTCGGACACAAAACGGGAATAAAATTAAATTACAGAACAAAATTAGCGTTGAAAGGGTCTACTAAACTTTATATTGGTTTAGGTGGTGGGGTGACAAAATTATCTTCCTCACTCTTAAGGTGAGGCGATATTCCCGCCTTATTTTAGGGGGAGAGAACAACAAAAAAAAAAAAAAAAAAATATACAGACTATACAAAAGAGGAAATGGAGAGAGAGACAGAATGGGGGTAAGGCGAGATGCATTGGAGCAATGAACTGAAACAGATAAAGAAAATAAGACGTAGATAGTCATTCGAAGTTCAGTGCCTGTCACTTAAGAAAACTGCAAGTCATACTTAAACTTTTTGAAATGCAAAGGGTTTTTAAAATTAAGACGTCAATAATAACCAGATTTAAAAATCCACTTGAACTTGACTAAAAATGTTGTTTATGTAAATAAATTTAAACATTTAAGAATGCAAGATTTGTTGAATTATTGACAATTCAGAGTCAACTGTGATTATGTTTTTAAGTTGAATGCCGAACAGATCTATTTTTATCAGAGGAAGAGTTTTTGTGAGTAAAAAAAAAAAAAAAAAAAAAAAAAAAAAAAAAAATTAGTACATTATTCCTGATGAAGAAAATTAAAGTCAAAAGTGAAATTTCAGTATCTTGTTAATGAATGGATCCCTTACAATTCCCATAGCCATATATTTCAGTCGAAATCCAATTAAATTTTTACTTGCAAAGTGTTGTATATGTACTTAAATTTTAAGACCATGGTCATATTTAAGGCAAGGGAAAGTCTTAACTTGCATTATTTGAAGTGGTTGGGTGCTTTAAAAATAAAAACACTCATTTGAGAGTTTAAGTTAAAAAAATAAAGATGTAGCTTTCGATGCCAGGTGTAAAAATGATGATAATACAACACGATATAAACTAATAACGTAATTATGACAGCGAATTATAAATGAAATCTACGCATACAAAAAAAAAAGTGGGGAATCTGAGAATAACAACATACCTGCAGAATAAGAAACTCGAGCTCAGACTACAACACGCCGAACCGGTATCGCATAAATGACTGACAATAAATGGATTGGTGAAGCACGTGATATAACTTGAACTGGGTCAGTTCAAAAGTCGGATTTATTCAAAGAAACATAAAACGGAATGCGGATCTTTCACTTTGCAGTGACCAATCAAATGTAATCGGGAAATGTTTTATTTTCAAATTTCCGCGTGTATCAGTGATTTTCTTTTCTTTTATTTATTTTTTAAGTTTTTGATATTTCGTAATTTATTTATTTCTTCTCTTTTTACTTAAAAAAAATAAATAAAGTAGGTGTGTCCAATGAATTTATAAAGGAAAATCAGTTATTGGTCGAAAGTAACTACTTCAGAAGTTTTGTAAGTTCAACGAACCCTACAAAATGACTTGCAAGTTTTCTCTTCTTATTCGTTATTTGTTTTCAGAATTTACAAAAAGAAAGTAATTTTAAAAATATTTTTCAAACTTTCTAATTTAGTTTTCTTTCGTTTACTTTTAAAAAATATTTCTTACTTATTTTTTCTTCTACAATTTTTTTTACATTATCATTGAATAATGTTTAGACGATCTTTCTTTTGTTGTTTTTCTTTCATTTTCACTTTTTTCTTGTAACCAAAATAAGTTTTCCAGAAAATTTAGTCAAATTAGTACTAAATTTATGAGCAATTTCATCCAGACTACAGTAGTCAGGGGGTTAGCGTTTACGATCAGTGTTTGAATTACATTTACAATGATGAGCTACTGTAGGTTTTACAAGTACGAAACAGAACTTAGTCTAACATAAAATAGGTTAAAAAAAATTATGACGTGTTGAAACTTCAAAAATACAAAAAAATAAATATACATTTTTAAATTCTCAATTTCATCAAGTTTAAAAATTGGCATGTAAAAAAAGCATACTTAATCACGCCATAAACACACACGGTATGTCTTCCAAACCAATGGGAACACAACCAAAAAGTATTCAATTCATTTGGCTTTCATTTGGAGCCTATATCTGGCCTATATAAGAACACACTCAAAGCCAAAGTACTCACAGCAAGCACACACAGGAGCACATTTAGGCACTCATTCAGAGCAACACAAGCTAGATAAAAATTTTGCCCCAAATAACAACCACATTGACCATAGAAAAAGAAACCTCCTAAATGAATTACTTTTATTCACAAATAAGTGCACATACACTTATGCACATATAATATATATATATATATATATATATGTATATCTTCACACCTATGTAATGAGAGAGCAAAGGAAATAAAGATTTATTCTCTCAATTACATTTCTCCCATTATGGATATTGTTACATTCATGATATAACAACACCGTAGCTCACAGACAGGACAGAATGGAATTGCTGAAAGGAAAAAGAATGACAAACATGCTTTTTTTCTCAGAGAGACTTTTATATAATGTAAGACATATTGTAGCGGACCCCCGAGCGTCCCCGTATCACAAAAGGTGATGAGGTCACAAGAGGCCCGCTAACATTTTCGAAGACATTAAATCTGACAAAGTGAAACAACATAGACGACAGAACAAGGATATATATGATATATGCTAATTTATTCTAGAAAAGAAATAAAGGTGGTCAGAAATTTAGAGATGCAGATGTTGATGGTCGAGGTTGGTCATTGCAGATGATCGCTGCTGGTCGTTGCAGGTGGTTGCTGCTGGTCATGCAGATGGTCTCTGCTGGTCATTGCAGATGATCGCTGCTGGTCATCGTAGGGATGCTAACTTGACATGTTGGGAAGGAAAGAGGAGCTGGCGTTGCGATATTGTTCGGGCATGTCAAAAATCCAGTGCTGGCGTTGCGTGTCTGCCAGTCGAGTCTGATATAGAAACCTCCCGTAATAATTACAAACATAGTGTACGGGAAAGGTTATGGACAACGTGCAGGCAGCCAGTAGGGACGGAATGCCGAGAGTCAAACATGGGCAAGGAGCCAGAAGTAAGAGGCAAAGTAGAGAGAGAAGGCAAAGTTTCCAACTATCGTCAAGTTGTCAGACAAAAAGAAATGGGAGCATAACTTTATACGCAGCCCGGTGGTCGACGTCCTGGCCTCTGGCCAGGAGTCTGCATACTGACCATTTCAGTCGCAGACCCTGATTTTGGCGAGAAGTCACTGTATTGTGGTAAGGGAGACTAGCAACAGAATTGGTAAGCTAATACTGTATTATCTATCTAAAAAAAATGAGTCGAGCTTAGCTAAAAGGAAACCAAGGCCTAAAAATGCTTAGAAGTATATTACGACTATGTTCGTAATACAACTAAACTGAAAAGGTAATTTGCTATTCTCTACCATGTAATTAACGGCGTGTCGGGAGCACAACCGAAAGGTCGAGGTCGAAATGACCTGTTCTCTTCCGGTTTAGGGAGCGGCCGCGATAATATACAAATCTATATATATACATGTGTCCCACATGGAGAAAATAATTTGTATCAGCAAGGCAGAGTGTAGTACCTACCACCACCATTACATACACACAGGACATAGAAATCATGCAACAGGCATTCATTGGTTGATCTCCTCAAAACAATATAAACAAAACACAAGTGGTTTTCTCTCTCTTTTTCGTCAATCTTGCGTCTCAAACCTTTGCTGCTAAAATGTGACCTTCAAGAACTCTCGTCTTAACCTTACGGTCAGACTTAAAAGAACATTACCATTTCATGCAAGTACGAACTCTAAAACTTCTGAACTCTTACCAACTTTACCAATCCACAATTCCCAACATGCAACAGGTACTTATTCTTCTAATCTACAGTTTAATAATTAATTCACTTTATGAGCTCAAATACAAATATTTCCAAATCTAAGAGACATAACTCTATCAAACCTTCAGCTTATATGCATGTACACCAAACACTAATAAATTCAATTATGTTTTGAATCATTACATTCTGTTTTGTATTTTATACTATGTGCTATTTTACGTCAAATATAAATTGCATTGTGCACACCACATTGGATAGTAACCTCCAGCATCTTTACTTTCCTTAATCACGCCTTTTCTAGTCAAAAGATAAATATATGTAGTACACACCTTTACATAATGGTGAACATACTGCTACAAGAGTGTAAGTTGAAACAAAAAGGAAGATTCTTACATATAATATAGAGATACTCCTGTATCTGCTGAAGCCATGTTTAGGACTCCAGATTCAAACAGACTGGATTCATCTACTATGTCCCAGGTGAGGAAATATTCAGGAAACAGATAGTCTTGGGTTTTCCCAAATTGAGGACTGTGAGCTGGAATTTCTTTCTATATCTGGGAAAGATATATTCCGAAATATAGTCTAAATATAATACTGTAATGAGAGTACTTACAAGAAAGATTTATTCTCCCAATTACATTTCTCCCATTATGGGCATTGTTGTATCCATGATATCACAACACCGTAGATCACAGACAGGATGGAATTGCTGAAAGGAAAAAGAATGACAAACATGTTTTGTTCTCAAAAATTTTTATATATTATGACATGCACAAAACCATATATATATATACATATATATGCATGACCCATATGGAGAAATATATGTCATATATGTCTATGTAGCAAAGTAAAGTATAAAGAGGAACAGAAGGAAAGCTCTTACATATAATTTGAAGATATTCCTGACCTGAAGAAGACTCCAGGTTTAAACAGATTTAAGCAGCTCATAGACAGGATGAAATGGAAAGGCTGAAAGGAAAAAGAATGACAAATATGCTTTGTTCTCAGCTATTTTTATATATTATGACATACACAAAACTACATATATATATATATATATATATATATATATATATATATACAAATATAACAACACAATAGCTCATAGACAGGACGGAATGGCTAAAAAGAAAAAGAATGACAAACATGCTTTGTTCTCAGATATTTTTATATATTATGACATACACAAAACTACATATATATATATATATATATATATATATATATACAAATATAACAACACAATAGCTCATAGACAGGATGGAATGGCTAAAAGGAAAAAGAATGACAAACATGCTTTGTTCTCAGAGATTTTCATATATGATATACACATGACATACACAAAACCACACATATATATATATATATATATATATATATATATATATATATATATATATACTCATGTCCCACATGGAAAACTATATATAGCATATGTCAACATAACAAAGTAAAATGTAAGGAGGAACAGAAGAAAAAGTCTTACATATAATTTGAAGATATTCCTGACCTGGAGAAGATTCCATTTAAAC